CCAAACCAGCCTCATTGGTAACTACATCAAATATCGGCTGGTGGAATCTGAAAAAAAAAAAAAAAAGAAAGGAACCATCAGCCCAGACAGTAAGGTCAAAGGTCGGACAGTAAGGTCAAAGGTCGGACAGTAAGGTCAAAGGTCGGACAGTAAGGTCAAAGGTCGGACAGTAAGGTCAAAGTCAGACCCAGTCCCTTGTGCTACTCATGAGAAAGGTACATTTATTTATTTACTTACTTACTTACTTACAGTTTTTCAAGACAGGGTTTCTCTGTGTAGCCCTGACTCTCTGTGTAGACCAAGCTGGCCTCAAACTCAGAGATCTGCCTGTCTCTGTCTCCTGAGTGCTGGCATTAGAGGTGTGCACCACCACTGATTGACTTTGTTTTATTTTTAATTTTATAGAAAATTTATCTTTATTTTATGTGCATGCCTGTTTTGCCTGGAGGTTTGCATGTGCACCACATGTGTACAGTGCTCATGGAGGCCAGAAGAGGACACTGGATCGCCTGGGACTGCAGTCATGGGTTATCATGTGGGTGCTGAACTAGGTTCTCTGCAAGATCAGCAAGTGCTCTTCACAGCCAAAGGGCAGTCTCAGCCCTGTGTTGCACGCGCACCTTATACACAAAGGGATGCACCGAGAAAGTGAGTGGATAGGCAGGATGGTGGTGGCGCAGTTTTTAATCCCAGCACTCGGGAGGCAGAGGCAGGCAGATCTCTGTGAGTTCGAGGCCAGTCTGGTCTACAAGAGCTAGTTCCAGGACAGGCTCCAAAGCTTCAGAGAAACCCTGTCTCAAAAAAAAAAAAAAAACAAAAAACAATAATGACAAAAAAATGAATAGGCAGACATATTGTAAAAGTGCAAACATACCCGGTGGGAAGACAGACTTCAAAGACCAAGATTTTATCAATGAATGAGTTAGGATTTTTTGTTGTTGAGGTTGTGTGTGTGTGTGTGTGTGTACATGTGTGTGGAGAATTTGTCAAGCAGGCTGGCTGGATTTTGAGCTCCAGGGTCCACCTTTCTCTACCTGGAACTACAATGCGTGCCTTCACACCTGACTTTTTTTAAAAAGCAGATTCTGGGACTGGAGAGATGACCCAACAGTTATGAGCACTGGCTGCTCTTCCAGAAGACCCAGGTTCAATTCCTAGCAGCTCACAACTGTCTCTATGTCCCTCTAGTTCCAGGAGACCTGACACCTTCACACAGACATACATTCAGACAACAACGCATATAAAAGAAAATAAAACTTAAAAGATTGTGTAGCAGAGAACAACTTTATAAAAAGAAGGGGACTGGAGAGATGGCTCGGTGTCTTGTCATTGTGCATGGATTTTGATATTAATAAAAGGTAGCACAATCCCAGGCTTCCCTCTTTCTGGATAGGTCTAATGTGACTTATTGTTGGGACCACAGATCCAAACTACGGCGAGGTTTACCTGCACAGCCGTGGTGTGTGGAAGACCAGTGGGGACAGCTGTGCCGTGAGACGAACTCATAGCCAAGATGGTTCGGAAGAGCTGTCTCGTGTTGTGAGTGTTTTTAGTACCATGGCAACAATAATAAGAACAAGCCCTTCTCTGAAATAGGTTGCCCTGATCACTTCAGCCCTTGTGTTTTAAGAGTTGTAGATGCACTATTAAGAAATTTCTTTTTTTTAAAGATTTATATATTTATTATGTATACAACATTCTGCCTCCGTGTATTCCCGCACTCTAGAAGAGGGCACCAGATCTCATTACGGATGGTTGTGAGTCACTATGTGGTTGCTGGGAATTGAACTCAGGACCTCTGGAAGAGCAGCCAGTGCTCTTAACCACTGAGCCATCTCTCCAACCCCTAAGAAATTTCATTAAATTGTGGATGTGTACCAAGATAATAACATTTAATTATATTCATTAAAGTGCAGTCAGATTTCATACAGGGTGGAAAACTGGTGAAGAAATACTTTAAAAAGGAATGGAAACACACACATACACACACATACACATACACACACACTCATATATGCACACACATACACATATACACACTCATATATGCACACATTTACAAGCATACACACATATACACACACATATATGTACACACACATGCATACACACATACACACTCATATACACACACACTCATATATGCACACACACATACACACATACTCATATACACATACACACACACAAGTGCCAGGTGGCACATGACTGTCATTCCAGCACTTAGAAGGCTGAGACAGAAGGGTCATTGTGAGGGCCAAGCCAGCCTGTACTATAAGTTCTGAGCCAGCCTGGGCTACAGAGTGAGGTTCCTTGAAATTTCTATTAAGTGAAACAAACTGGACTTGGTGTATAAGTCTAATGGAACAAGACTCATGTGTGTGTATCTACACATACAGCTTATAAGAGTAGCTCACAGGATGTGGTCCAGGGAGGCCAACAATGGCTGTCTTCCAACAGAAAAAGCAAAGAATCCAGTAGTTGTTCAGGCCCTGAGACTGGATGTCTCAGCAGTCCTGGTCTGGTGCTGGCATCCCGGAAGAGCCCCAGAGAGCCGCTGGTCTCAGTCGGTATTGGAAGCACACTGAAGAAGTGAATTCTAACACCAGCAGGCTGTGTAGACTTGTCAGTGAGTGAGAGAATCAGCCAGAGAGCAAACTGTCCTTCTGTGTGTGTCCTTTCCTGTGGGTTCCGGTCGAAAGGCGGGGCCCAGGGTTAGGATGGGTCTTCCCACCTCCAAATAGCCAATACAGGCTCCCTAACAGGCTTGCCCTACTGCTTGGGGTCCAGTTGGTTCTGATTCTAGTCAAGCCCAGACGGTCCAGCTTGACCCTTGCTCTCCAGAAAGCCAAATATTGCATGTTTTCTGTCATGTGTGGGTCCTGGATTTTCTGCATAGATCCAGAAGTTATTGATGTGTACACATGAAGAGAAGGAAGAGAGAGACTGTTGGTGCAGAGGAGCGAGCTTGACAGATGGGAGGGGAGGAAAGTGAGGGCATGAGGCTGAGAACTGTTTGCAATAAAATCTGGGGACTGGAGAAATGGTTCAGAGGCTAAGTGCACCGACTGCTCTTACCGAGGACCCAGGCTCAATCCCCAGCACCCACATGGCAGCTCATAACCACCTGTAACTCTAGCTCCAGGGGATCTGATCCTCTCTTCTGACCTCCATGGGTATCAGGTATGATGAATAAGTGCAAACATATCTGTAGGCAAAACACTTATTCACATTTTTAAAAATTAAAGAAAAAAATCCGGCAGTTCATTCTCAAAGGTACCTCAAGTCAGCTTCGGTCTAGTTGCAAATGATCAAAAACACCAGACTCCTGCTAATTTCTGCTGGTCTAGCTACTGCCCCCAGACTGCAAACCTGCATCTGACAGACTAAAAGTTTAGGGCTTTCCCACAAGTCTGGTTACGTTTTACTATAAACAGGCTGTAAGACGTAGGGATGAACACATGCACAGGTTTGGTTGTGTGAAAGACAGATTGTAAGAGGTAGGAGATGACCTGGTCGGAGAGGAAGGTAGGCCTCCTTCTGGCGACACTGCCTAAGCAGTTCACTGAGCGGCTCCCTCCCTGCCACGGGCTGCCTTTGGAGTGGTGATGAATGCGAGCTTCATCCGGTCTTGAGAAGCACACGGCCACAGGAGTAGCTGTGGGTGCCAAGTGGGGAAGGGTTATGCCACTCGAATCAGTGCTGGGAACGACAAGCAAGGTTTTCCCAAGAAGCAAGGCATTTTGACCCACGACTGAGTGCACCTGCTGTTGGGTGAGGGGCATTCTTGTTATAGACCAAAGACAGCTGGAGAGAGGAAGGACAAGCATGTTCCTGGACTCACCGCAGGTGCCAATCTGAGCATTCTCAGCTTGGGTATTGTAAAAAAGAAAGAAAAGGAGAAAAGGAAATTCCTGGACTGACAGATCGACTGTGCCTCACCAGTAGGGACCTAAAAGAGCAAGTGGAACCCAAAATCTTTCCAATCTCTCTAAAGATGATGTCTGTCACTACATCATCGAAAGTCCTTAAACCGAGAAGGTGGGAAACCCAGGACCAAAGCGCCCAGGATTCAGCGTCTCGTTACCCTGCCCATCCTGCAACATGAACGCCGACATATTGCTCTGAAGAAACAACACTAAGAAACACAGAAAAGAAGCTGCAGAACATGCCAAGACCATGAAGGAAGACAAAGAAAACCATCAGCAGCAGGTGCCAGAGGACGCTGGCTGTCCTTGCTCAGAGCTTTAGGTCTGAGTCCAGTAAAAACAAGTCTAAGAAACAAATAAACGACCAGACCTTGAAAAGAGGAAAGAGTAGATGAAGTGTGCGATTGAAACCCCCTGCCCTGATTACTCCCGAAGGAAGGGAGGGGCATGTCAGTCATTCTAGGCTGATGTTCACCTTTGCAAGATGGTAAAATAACCTGTGTTGATTCCATTGGTTCCACTACTCGAGTCTCCGGTGCTTTCTTCTTCTTTTTTTTTTTTTCCAAGACAGGGTTTGTCTGTAGCTTTTTTTGGGGGGGGGATTCTGTTCTGGAATTCGCTCTGTAGACCATGCTGGCGTCAAATTCTCAGAGCTCCATCTGCTTCTGCCTCCCTAGTGCTGGGATTAAAGACGTGCGCCACCACCGCCCAGCTGATCTCCAGGACTCTTATTATGAAGGGGGAGATCACTGTTTCTCGTGTTGTGAGTGAAGAGGGTAATATCCTGGAACGAAGTGTTCTGTCAATATGCACAGTGTATACATGCCAATAAAAGAAAGGAAAATTCCTACTCCTGCACCCAACACAAATGAGAGAGGAGGATTCTGAGTCCCTGAGGTCAGATGACTTCCTTTATTCTTGTGACATCCCAAGAAGTTGTGGGAACGGCATGTGGATCTGCTTCCCAACTCCTTCACCTAATTGCAGAAAATTGAGGAGACTATGACCATGCCCTGTTTCTATGGCAACATCTGTGATGACACACACTGCTCCCAGGAGCCTGTAGGACAGGAGCATTGGAAGCTTGTCTTTTCTAGCTTGAACCCCTCTGAGGGCTCAAGCTAAGGTTGACTACTCCTCCATAACCGGCGCTGCACACAGAAGCAGATCGGCCTGTGTGGTCGTTCAGGGTGACCGTCTGCCTTTGGTTCCGTCTTCTCAATGAAGAAGGAGAACTTCCCTGAGGAGTTCAGCTTGACATCTCCTCAGATCAGCAAGGGCCTGGTGCTACTTCAGAGCATGGCCAACCGAGACTACCATGGTCCAGAGAGGAAGCTGCAAGACTATCACAGACCCAGCAAGTCGGCCCAGGCCGTCAGTCGCTACTACCGCAAAGTGGTACGGAAGCTAACTTCCCAGCACAGCCACCATGGAGCTAGCCGTTCCTCTTCCTTACCAAAGGCCCATGGGAGCTGGCAGCCAGCAGAGCTTGGCACATGCTTATTGGCAATCTGCCACAGAGTCCAGGAGGCCTGCGGACTGCTGCTTCTGGTGTGGAGAGCCCTGACTGGTCTTGCCCAACTTCCTGACAGACCTATGACCTCCTATCCAGAGCCCCCAGGCTTTCTTGGGGGTAGCTGTATGGAGTCACTGACTTCCCCCTCTGCAGACCTTGACTCTTGCTTGGTCTGGACAGCCAAGCCCAAAGGAGGAAGTCAACTCTGAACCCTGAGCAAAGAGACCCAGTCTGTCCTGAGTGTCACAGAGGAAGAGGAAAGAGAGAGAAGGGCCCAAGGGAGGGAAGTCCAATTGAAAAGGCCACCTGCACCCACCATGCACCAGGGGAGCCAGGGATGGTGCTGGTAGTCTCGGTGACTTCCTAGTTGGGTGCTGAAAGCCCAGCCAAGGGTTGTCTCTAATGCAGAGATTTCTGGGAATGCTTTCCAGCTGGCCAGGAAAGGATCGGCCCATCGCCACGAGTAACAGCATAGGCAGGGCCCCTGCATCCATCCCGTAGACACAGCCCAAGTCTCTGGTCTCACTTTTTCTCCTGCCAGAGCCAGATCAAGAAGCTCACTAGCCCTAATGGCTTTGTGTCTGAAATGGAAGAAATGAGAAAGGCCTTCCTCATGCGGCCTGGATGCCCCCAGTTCAGTACCAGAGCCACGTCTGTATCTCATGTGGGTAAGACCACCCTCCCCCAGACCACCAAGGGTGATGAGAATAGCCTCCTGCCTCCTGAAACCCTTCAGCCCGTAAGGAGCCTCTGGGGACGCTTCTGAAGTCCTCTGTGGGAGCACAGAGTCTCTGAGACCTGCACAGAGGCTGGGGGATGGCGAGATGTAAGAGGATAGACCTCACACTCACGATTGCTCCTTCTTGTTTTGCTGTTGCAGTGTTGGGATGGGAGAGGGGAGGGTTGGAATTTCTAGAAGCTTCTGTGAAGATGCTCTTAAGTTCATAGACACTTAAGTGGGAGCAAACACCCCAAGGACTCCTAGAAGCCTTACATCTTGTTTTGTTGAAACCCAGGAGAGCACTCAGTGCCTACCCAGGGCACATCACTCAGAGTCAAGGCTACATCCCAACCTCTTGGATCCCTGACCTGCTCTTGTCCCATGTCCCCAACACCAACTTGGAGACTTGTCTGTGAAGTTCAGCAATATCCCAGCATGGGCTCTGCTCCCCAGGAGGCGCTGTGGGATTGTTGTGGGGTGAACTGAGGGGCCACAGAGTCTAGGCTGCAGGGGCTGTACCTACATTCGCTCACAGACGCCTCCATCAGTCCGCTCGGGTGACACACTGTGATCAGATGGTTTTTTGTTTGTTGCTTGTTTTGTTTTGTTTTTTGAGACAAGGTTTCTCTGTAGCTTTGGAGCCTCTCCTGGAACTAGCTCTTGTAGACCAGGCTGGCCTCAGACTCACAGAGATCTGCCTGCCTCTGCCTCCCAAGTGCTGGGTTTAAAGGCATGCGCCACCATCGCTCTGTTTAAGCCTCTGTTTTGATGGATGTTCAGGGTCCAGTACCGTGCCTCCATCAGGAAGACTCACTTGTTCCTGGCCTCCTGTTTAAAGATAACATGACAGCCTTGACCCTAGAGATCTTGGAACAGTGAGAACTTCTCGTCACCTCTGGCACCTTGCACATTCCAGGTTCTGCCACCACGGTAGATCTGCCCAGGGACACATGCACCAGCTCCGGAACCTGGAAGATGTCCGAGGACCCGCCCCTGGACAGGCAGGGCTCTGCCACCAGTATGGACGGTAAGGGGATCCTGGAGGTCTCCGCCTTCATCTTCTGGGGTCCTGGGTCCCCAGGGATGCCTGCTGTGTCCTCATGGAACTACTCCTAATGCTGAGACACAGGCTACCCAGGTCCAGGGCTGTAGCAGGACTCTTCTCTCACTGGTGGAAGACACTACCATTGTTCCTTGTCTTTGGCTGAACTGCAGCTGAAATCTGAGTCCTCTACCTTCTTTGTGCCCTTTCCTTCCAGCCCCTTGGGTACCACATCCTTGAATAACGCAATAAGCTTTCCTTTGCCAGAAGGTGATATAAACATGGTAGTTTCAGATAATAACCCATAGTGAACAACTGCCTCCAGGGTCAAGAAGGTGAAGAACTCCAAATTCTAAAACAAGACTCTGGGGTGCAAGAGGGCTGGGTCATGGAGTCAATAAGGGCAGTAGCAGATGGCTTCCTGTTCTGACTCGAAGGTTCTCGTCCTTCCACCCTGGAATCTGGATATGGACTTTGATACACGGCCACCCTCCTGAGTGTGTTCTTGGTGTGTGTGGACAGATGTGGTGGTCCCAAGGGCTATACGTAGGCTTCTGGTCGAGGAGACACAAACTTGAAGCTTTTAGCTTGGCAGTGGATGACAGCTGACTGGACAGATACCAGCCTCTGAGGGAAGGGCGGGAAGGGTGGATATTATCATGGAAGATTCTGCATATCCACAGGGAAGAATCTAACTGCCCTCTGGTCTGTGTTCCTCTACAGGGCGCATCTTTTCATTCAGCAAGAGTGCTTGCGAGCTCAACTACTCACGCAAGAGGAGTGAGCCCCCAGCCACGAGCCCCACCAGCAGCCCAACCATGGTCAAGAGGTCCCAAAGAACCAGAATGCCCTGGTACATCTCAGTCATCCATGAGAAGGTAGGGTCCCGCACCTGATCCGGCATCCTGCCCACCCCACAGTGGACTGTTGTTCTACTGTCTGGCTAGCCATAGCCTAAAACAACACCCAGACATCCTACATTGGCTGCTATTAATCCAGTGATTCTCTCACACACCCGCCCTGCCTCCTTCCTTCCCGGTGTGTGGCACTTTAACCCAGCACAGAACTAATTAGCATGTGTGGCCATCAACCAGTCTGTACACCTTCAGCCCAGAAATCCCTGTGAGTATGAGAGGCTAGCAAATGCCCAGAGATCTGTGCATAAGCCATCACATCCTGGTGGGATCTTCCCTTTAAATAACAAAAACAAACAAACAACAAATAAAAGTTGATGCTTGTAAGAGTTGAGCACACAAACTCACTTGTCTTAGAATTCTGTTGAAATATGACGTTCAGGTTATTCTGGCCTTGTTTTTAAAAATTCAGAAGTACTTCTGTAGTATTATTTTATTTGTGATCTAACAACTAAAACTTACTTGAAGATCAGGGGGCAGAGCTAAGCCACTAGTTAGCCATGGAGGCCAGGCAGTGGTGGCAGACTTTAATCTCAGCACTATGGAAACAGAGGCAGACAGATCTCTGTGATTTCAAAGCCATCCTGGACTAAACAAAATTGAATCAGTCTAAAAGAGAAACAGAGCCAAAAGGTGGTGGCTCGCATCTTTAATCTCAGAACGAGGGAGGTGGAGACAGGAAGGAATATGACTGGACAGAGAGAGGAATATAATGCAGGAGGAGACAGGAGCTCAGTTGTGGTCTCAGAATTCAGTCTGAGCATGCAGTCTGAGGATTCGTAGAGACAGTATAGCCCCTTCAGTCTGAACATTAGCATTAGCGGTTGGCTGCTCTGCTTCTCTGATCTTTCAGCTTACATCCCCTAGTATCTGTCTCTGGGTTTTTATTATTAATACTAATTAGAATTTGTTCTACACACTTCATCTAGGCTTTGGGAGATTCTATGTTATCACTATTCCCCAAAGTCTGTTTTTCAAACCATCTCTCCTACCATTTTGCCCTCTGGGGCTCAAACCCTGGGTCTTGCATGTGCTTGTAGCACCAAACCTTCTACTACTTTTTATTTTGAGACAGGGTCTCACTGATTTGCTCAGGATGGCTTTGGACTCACTCTACAGACCAGGCAGGCCTTGAATTTGCAATCCTTCTGCCTCAGCCTTTCGAATGAGTTGGGATTCCATGCTTATAAAACAGACAAGTTTTAATAAATCACAGGTTTTATGTCTTTACAAGGTGGGCACTTCCCCTTTTCTGCTTCCTGCAGTTAGCAGTCACGTAGGAAGTGTCTGACTCCTGAAAGTCTGTGTCACTAACGTAACGCGGTGTAGCAGAAGGGAGCGGTGCCATCACGGCCCGCGGCTCCTGCAGCGGCAGCCTCTTCATTCCCGAAGCCCCTGGCTCCTGTCGTGTCTCCTTCTGATCAGCTGCTCTCTCTGTTTTAGGCTTTCTCTCAGTGTTGGCTTTAGGACGTGCTGATTTTTTTTTTCAAATGGATGCTTATTATTTCTAGGTCTTGAATTTGTGTGTTCATGCACGCATGTGCAGGTGCATTTGTGTTCACACGTGAATGTGTGTGTAAAGGGCAAAGGTCAACCTTGGGTGCTGTCCTGTGAGTGCTGTCTGCCTTGTTTTTGAGACAGAGTCTCTCACTGAGCTGGATTTCACTGATTAGACTAAGCTGGCCCCAAGGATCTGCCTGTATCCGTCCTCCCAGGGCTAGAATATGAGTGTGCCCCCACTTCTGGCTTTTCCAATGTTAGGTTAACTTTAAATTATTGGCTTTAGGGGCTGGAGAGATGACTCAGTGGTTAAGAGCATTGCCTGCTCTTCCAAAGGTTCTGAGTTCAATTCCCAGCAACCACATGGTGGCTCACAACCATCTGTAATGAGGTCTGGTGCCCTCTTGTGGCCTGCAGACAGAATATTGTATACATAATAAATAAATATTCTTAAAAGTTTTTAAAATTATTGGCTTTAATAGAGTGAGACAACTTTCCATTCTTATTTGTATTGTCTTTTAAATGAATTATTTCATGTGTATAAATGTTTTGTTAGCATACATATCTATGTTCTATGTGTGTATGGTGCCTATGTAGTCTGGAGAGGGTACCAGATCCCCTGGAATTGGAGTTACAGATGGTTGTGAGCTATCGTGTGGGCACTGGAAATAAAACCCTGATCCTCTGGAAAAGCAGCCAGTGCTCTTAACCACTAAGACATCTCCCCAGGCCCAACACCTATTTTCCATGGGTTCCAGAGATCCAACTCTAGTCTTCCTGTTTGCGCAGCAAGTACTTTACTGGCTGAGCACCTCCCCAGCTCCCATCCAGTTTTTAAAAAGGCAGTGGGGCTATAGGGAAAACCCTGCACACTTGTTGAATGCACAAGGAAGAACACAATTGGACAGAAGCCAATGAATTTCTGCAAGTCCCAGCCAGGGCAGGTCCCTGACAGCTGGCATATGTGTGATAGGTCCAGAAGCTCAAAAGCATGTGTGTCCCGTGACCCAGCCCTTCCACCTCTGCCATGCTGGCAAAGGTGTTCACCACCAGGCTGCTGCTGCTCACCCACCAGGGTGGAAGCCTCTGAGAGATGGCGACAGGCCTGCTTCCTCCAGGAGCTCAGATGGTGCTACTGGGGTTGCCTTCGTGTCTTCTGAAGAGACAGGAGAGCCACTTGCACCAGAAAATTTGCCCCATGCCATCTTAGCAGTCCTCAGCAGGAAAGGGACCAGTTTCCCCCATGGCAGTTCTCAGACTACTTGGAGGCATGTGCACATGTCTGAGATCACCATGGTCAGAACAATAAGATGTGTTCTCTGGTATTGTTTTCCTACTTTGCTTTTTCATTTTAAACATTAAAAAAGTTTAATAGTCACACAAATAATTCCCATACCCCTTTCACACTTTCCAATGCTACAATGTTGCATGCTGGTTTCCGTCTGATGTGTGTGTGGGGGGCAGGGGTATGTGTGTGGTTTTTGTGCTTGCAGACACACGTGCAGGCACATGTACCCATGAGCGTGCCTGTGAGGGTGGGAAAAGGACATTGGCTGTCCTCTCCAGTTTCCCTCTGCCTTATTCCCTTGAAACAGGATCTCCCACCAAACTTGGAACTAGCTGTTTTTTGGCAAGGCTTGCAGCCAGCATGCTCCAGCTATCTTCTTGTTTGTACCAGGGTTACAGATGCACAGGGTCTTACATCTGGCTTTCTACGAGGGAGGAGGGAATCCAAACTTGGGTTTGTAGGTGGAATTCTTCGTTGGTACAGCCAACTCCCAAATAACCACTCAGAGACCTATTAATTATAAAGGTTCAGCCCATAGCTCAGGCTTATTACTAACTAGCTCTTATATTTTTAAATTAACCTGTATTTCTTATCTATGCTCTACCATGCGACAGTACCCTTTAACAACAGGGCAAGTTCATCTTTCTTCTCTCTGTATCTCCTTGAGACTCCTGAGATTTTACTCTTCTCAGCATTCTCTTTGCCCTGAAAATTCTGCCTAGTCATCAGCCAATCAGCTTTTTGTTAACAATGAGAGCAACACGTCTTCACAGTGTACAGAAGGAGTATCCCACAGCACAGGTTCTCATGCTTGTACAGCCAGACATCAATCTTTCCAGCCCCACTTGCTTCTTTCTCAGATTTGTTTTTATTTACTATGTACATGTTGTGGCTATGTGCGGGTGCCTTCAGAGGCCAGAAGAGGACGTCAGATCCCCTGAAGCTGGAGTTATGGGTGGTTGTAACCACCATGTGGGTGCCAGGAACCAAACTCAGGTCTTCCGTATTCTAGCCCGTGAGCCATCTCATCTCCTTTTGCTTCATTTCCCCCTCCCATTCCTCATTTTCAACCCTCTCCCTATACTATTAACTCTTTACATCTTCCTAGTACTGGGGCCTGAGCCCAGGCCTCATACACTCCGAGCAAGAGTTCCACCACTGAATGATGTACCTAGCTCCCTGTCTACTCCTGTGAAAACTTCAGAATGGATATCATTAAATTGCCCAGGTAGGTTTTCATTTGTGATCCTCCTGCTTCAGTCTTCCGAATAGTTAGGAGTTCATCAATTCTTGTGTCTCACACTTCCCCCTGGTTTCTATCTTCATTAGGCTCAATTTTTGGTTCTTTTCTAAATTCTAAATTTAGATTTTTGAGGTGTCTATTTTTTTCATTTATTTTTATGTCATGTGGATGGGTGTTTTGTCTTCATGGAAGTTTGTACAGCATGGGTGTGAGGTACTTGTGGAGGCCATAAAAGGCCAGGACTCCTGGAACTGGAATTGCAGACAGTTGTGGGCTGCCATATAGATGCTGGGAACCGAACCCAGGTCCTCTGGAAGGTCAACGAATAGTCTTAAATATGGAGCTATCTCTCCAGCCCCTAAGATGGCTGTTTATATTAGTTTATATTTCTCCCAGTAAGTAAATCTCAAAACCACAACCTGGCATTTATTTATTTGTTTGTTTGTTTAGTGTGTGTGTGTGTCCCTGTGTGACTTTCTTCCTGGTGTGGGTACCCTCAGGACCAGATGAGGGTGCTGGCTCCCCTGGAGCTGGAATTGCAGGTAGTTATGAGCTGCCCTGCATGGGTTCTAGAAACTGAACTCTGGTCCTCTGCAAGAGCAGTATAGAGTTGGGCACGTGGGAGAGCCCTTTAATCTCGGTAGAGGCAGGGAGATCTCTGTGTGTTTGAGGCCAGACTGGTTCCAGTCATCTGGAGCAACAGTTAGACACTTGTCTCAGAAAAAAACAGTACTCATTCTTGAGAACTATTTACTCCCTATGAAGTGGCTTCCATCACAGTTTTAGATTTATCCTGAGGCATGACAATGGCCCCACGTTCAATGTCATCCATTCATAATGTTTCCTAACTTCTCAAGTGGTTTCTTCTTCAGTCCGCAGGCTACACAGAAGCCTGTGACGTTATTTCAATTACTTGAGAGATTTCTAGTTGCCTTCCGTTCCAGATTGTTCTGCATGGGTAATTTTCCTTCTGCCTGGAAGCCTTACCTTAGTCTTTCCCTGAGTTCATATCTGTTGGTGAAGAAGCTAAAGATGCCTTTGATTTGCCTTCTGTTGAAGAACTGACACAGTTGAGATTTTGAGAAGGCAGACTGAGGGGCTCCCTAACAAGCTCCTTTGGGGGGGGTCACTCTTGGGTGACATCTCCACAGAAATGTGTGGGCCACCAAGAACACAGGTATCTTGAATTACAGCGGGAAAGCTGACCAGGCTCTGGTCCTGACCTGAAGGCCTTTGCGCAAGGATTTAGGGTCCACTCCCAGGACAGATGCTAATGCCGCAGAACCCCAGGACGTGAATCCCAGGGCGTGGCTCCCCAGGAATGGCTGCAATAAAGAGCTGCAAAACTTGTCCTAGGGTTTAAGTGTCTGGGAACTACTGTTCTCTGGGTGGCTGAGAAGGAAAATGGGGACAGTTGGTCTTGCCTGGTGCCCAAGAGTTGCCTCTGGTTTCCACACAGGATCATTCCCTGCTCCGGCTGGGAGAAGAACTCCAGCGCCTCTCGGTGCTGGAGACCCAGATGCAGAAGAAAGATCAGGAGATCTTGCTGCTCCAGAAGGAGAAGGAGGCCCTGAAGAAACAACTGAAGACCCTCCTCAGAAGCAAAGGCACAGAAACATCTTCCTCTTCCGTCAAGATGGTGAGCCTTCTGCCAGGGGCCTATGGGAGCCCTGAGATAGTCCAAAGGGATAGCTCATGGACTGAGATAGCCTATGAGCTGTAGGCTCTGCCCTCTCAGACATTAGCAGAGGGCGGGGGAGGCAGAACCCTATGGCCAGGAATGGTCCCTGGATTGGTCCAAGACTTGATGTCTTTCACACCTGATAACAGCTTGTGCTTGTCTGGGCAGACGTGAAGTGGGAGCAGGGAGGAGGTTGGAGGTCATGGGCGGTGCCTGGGTACCTTGGGAAAACTGCCTACACAGATAGATGCCCAAGGGGGAACAGATGGGACTTCTGCTCCCCCATTTCCTCCAAGGGCTCTAACGCAGGCATGAGAGGACAGGGCAGGCAGATGAACCACAAACGAGCATGCTCACTGGGCCAAGTGTTTGCGGGAAGCTGTTCTGGTAGGGCCCAGAGCCCCGTTGTTCCCCAGAGCTGCTCGCCCACAGACCATTGCCCTGTTCTACTGGATGGCACTGCTCCTTTGCCCTCTGCTATGGTTACCCACCTGCACTTGGAGAGACTAAGGTTCCCTTCCGGGAGGGTGAGGAATGGGGGCAGTATCACCTGGAGCTCCTGTGGGAGTTTGGAGAGCTTGAGATTCATAGCAGCATCTGATAGGATCGGTCATTTGAGGCTTCGCTGAAGCTGGGAAGGCTGAGCATGCTGAAGACACTACACAAAGAAGAGGAGGAGCTCCAGCCCTGGATGCAGGTGTGGAGCAGGCCGAAGCCCCAGGCTGTCACTTCTTGGATGCTCCTAGGGACAGAGGAACGCTAGGAGGGAGGCCCCAGCCACAGCGCCCCTCCCTGCAGCCTAAACCTTGCTGGCCCTCCCTAAATGCAGAGGAGGCCAATGGGCAAGCCCAATCAATGCCCCTCCCCCACCAAGAGTGCAGATACTGAGAGGCGGAGACAAAGGAACTGAGCTGCTTTCTGAAGTTGGTACATCTCCCTTGTACCTAGGGACATTTGTGTCAATGCCCAGTCCCTTTTCTCTCTGTCCCCCAAATGCAGGATGACTTTAACCTGACAGAGAGTAGCAAGGAGCTGCAGATGGAGCCAGGAAGTGTCATGGAGGAAAAAGGCCCCAAGGGGCCCCCGGAGGAGGCTGGAACTACTGCCAGACCTGGGAGCAGCATGGGCAATATGGGGACTTTGCGTGAAGAGGGCCCTGAGGAGGAGGAGGAGGAGGAAGCAAACAGACTAGAAGAGGAGGAGGAGGCGGTGGTAGAGGAGGAAGAACTGTGGGAGCTGAGGGAGGAGGAGGAGGAGCAGTGTCCCAAGAGGTCGTACTCCCTGACTGAATCCTTTGAGGAGGAGCTGATGGCCCAGCTGGAGGAGTATGAGCGCATGTTACTGGACTTCCAGAGTGAGCTGGAACTCACTAGGGCCAGATATTCCCTGGCCACAGGTAGGAGGGGCCAAGGGGCGGCTGCCATGGGGTGTGGGTGCTTGGTTGCACTGACTCTGCCCAGCGGGCAGGAGTTGCACCAAGAAAGGACAACAGGGCATTCAGACAAGCGCTTGGGGCCTGGGGCTCACAGATGGTCCTCACTCTCTCGCTCCGCCTGTGTCCCGCCTTGCTCTTAGGAGCCATCACATCTTTACAACGGCAAACCGACTTTCAGGAGTCTCAGCTGCGAAAGGTCACCACGGAAAACGAGCTTCTGGAGAAGGAACTCCGCGAACGGAAGCGGCAGATACAGGCCATGACCAACAAGGTGGCTGTGTGCTCAGCAGTCCCTCTAACCTTGTCAGTGAGCAAAGCCAGCAGGCCCAGTGGTCCCAGTGACTCAGGGGGTATGGCCTTCCAAGTCCAGGGCACCAGCTGGTGGCACTGTGGACAGCCTCAGTCCTACTGTCCTTTGGTCTGTGTCCCCATGTCTTGTGTCATGGTGACCCTGGTTACTCCCTAAACATTTGCCGGCCCCTGATCCCTACCTAGGCTGTTTATCCACATTTAGAGTATGTTTAGCTTCTGGGCCTACTCATGTTTCTGTTAGCAAATGCCCGAGACAGAACATGTTATGAAGTAGAGAAGTTTATTCTTACCCAGGCTACCCCACAAGTGCCTCTTCTCACGGCCCCCATCCCATAGCAATGACGTCTAAGTCTTCTAGCAAATTCTTCAGGAAACTCCACTGTGGCATCAGATAATGCGCCTCATAGAGTCATCTTCACTGTGACATCATCAAATGACTTCCTCTTCCCCAGCGTCCTCGTCTGCCTTCCAACGGGGCAGGCTCTCTCCCCGTCCTCTGCTCCCCTAACGTCAGCGTCTCCCAGCTTCCATTCTGTGCCAACATCATATTCACAATCACCTGAAACACGGGAGAGTTCCCAGAACAACACTGAGATTCCTGTCACGGTCTCAAGCTTCTGCACCCACGTCCTTCTCTTTCTTGTTTCTGTGCAACTCATTTCTAGGGGTTTTTGTTTTTTTCCCAGAAAGGATGTATGTCTGGAAGCTTTGGTAACACAAACCATCTGAAAATGCCTCAGTTCTACACGTTAATAGCCATCAGGGTCACCACAGTTCAGAAATCATTATCCCGCCCAGCTGCAGAAGCACTGCCCTGCTGCGAAGGCAAAGACATTGTTCCTGTCCCTTCCAGGCCTGCTGGTGGGAAATCTGAGGTCACCTGTGTGTTCTGAATGTCGTCTATTGAAAAGCTGTCAGATCCTGTCTCTGTCCAGGGCGTCCTGAGACCTGGCAGAGCCGTGCCTTAGTGCCCAGAGGGGTATCACCTCACACTGTGCGGCAGGCACTGGGTGGCCCTCTAGAAGTGTGTCGTGTGTTCTAGAGCCTTTGTGTGCCCTGCTGTTCACTTCTGCTTCTTTGTTCCAGTTTTAGTTCTGTTGCCACACGTGACAACATGCCCTGATAGAAAGGAACTTAGGGAGGTGTGATGGCACACCCCTTTAATCCCAGCACTCAGGAGGCAGAGGCAGGCGGATCTCTGTGAGTTCAAGGCCAGCCTGGTCTACAGAGTGAGTTCCAGGACAGCCAGGACAGTTACACAGAAACCCTGTCTTGAAAAATCAAAAAAGAAAGCAACTTAGGGGACACAAGGTTCGCTTTAGCTCATAGTCCATAGTCCGTCAAGGCAGAGCCAGAAACAGCTAAAGTCCAGTCACGAGGAGAGGGAGTGGATGCTTGGACGCTTAGTGCTCCCACAGCTTTGTCTGCTCCCGCACAGTCTCGGACCCCAGTCAGGGAACAGCTGCCCATTTTCAGGCTTAGCCTTTCCAAACCAATTAACAATCGAGACAATCCCCCCAACAGATATGCCCACAGGCTAGCATGATCCAAACAATCCTTCATTGAGACTCTCTTCCCAGGTGTGAGTTGTATCAGGTTGGCAGTTAAACTAGCCATGTTCTTTTCTAGATTATTTTCCTTTTTTTCCCCTCACTCCTCTCCTCTCCTCTCCCTCCCTCCTCCCCTCTGCCCTCTACGCTCCTGCAGGCAAATGGACAGACCTAGATAAAACCATCCTGACCGAGGTAACCCAGGCCCGGAAAGACAAATATCATATGTACTCACTCATAAGTAGATAATAGGCATAAAACAAAGGGCAACCAGCCTCCAGGCCACAACCCCAGAGAACCTAGGGAACAAGAGGACCCTAAGAGAGACATACATGGGTCTGTCTAGGAAGGGAGAAACAGATGATTTTACTTTTTAAAGTAAAGATGATGGTGGCACACACCTTTAATCCCAGCACTTGGGAGGCAGAGACAGGTGGATCTCTGTGAGTTCAAGGCCAGCTTTGTCTACGTGGTGAGTTCCAGGGCAACCAGAACTACACAGAAAATCTCTCGAAAAACAAGCAAAAAAATATGTGTATGTGTGTGTACATATATGTATGTGTGGATGAATGTGTGTGCATGAGTGCCCGTGCTCACAGAGGCCAGTAGAAGTCAGCCTGGCGGCTGGAGTGAACTGCTTGACATGGTGCTGGGAGCTGAACTCCAGCTGTCTGCAAAGGCAGTGAGCTCTCAGCCACCTGGTCATCTCTCCAGCCAAACAATCACATTCTTCCTTTCTGATTTCCCTTAGGGAGCTCCAGTAGCTTAGATTGGCCCTCTCATTGTGAGATGCCCTTTCTTTTAGCTTTGTCTCCTTGTCCCTTAGGTTTCCTCAACTCCATCTGTAGCTCTGCTTGGGAGTTTCAGTTTCAATGTTTGAAATGTCCATCTGTGCTTTGAGGGTTCTTTTCCTTCTTTTTCCAAGAGCCAGCCCCTTTCTATTTCACAAGAGCCCTGTCCTTTCTTCCTGCAAAGGCAACATTGATGGGAGCTTGCTGTCACATTCTTTGACAAGGTCTAGAACTGAGCCCCAGGCATGTTCATGACAATCCTCCTGCCTCTGCCTTCCTGTCCTGGGATCACAGTGTCTCTGACATTTCAACATCTTGCTCTTCCACTTCTGACGAGCCTCCCTTGGTCTCTAGTCTCCACTATTTATGTTTGTTAAACTGGTTGCCCCAGGGCTGCTGGAACCTCGGACTTTGTGGTGACCACACTGTGATCCAGAGTGGCCCCTGGAGAGTTTCCGTAGAGGTCTCCTCTGGTGTCTGGGGCAGTCAAGTTTCCTTGAAAGCTAGGGGCTGAAAGAGCGTCTTGGCTAACAAGCAAAGGTTTCTTGCTCCAGTTCTGGGCCTGGAGGGCAGAAAGTTGAGGATGTTCCCACACTCAGCACACAGGGGAGGGTGGCATCTTCAGGCCTGAAAATGACTAGTCTTTACCAGAGTGGATACAAGGGCAGGTAGCTGGCAGGCCAGGGCCTGTCTTTGGTTTCCTTGTGAACGGTTTAGCGTCTGACTTTCTTGGCTCTGCCATCCACTGATCTGTTTCCCATCTTCCACTGTGTCCTTGGCGCTCTTTCTCTTCTTGCATGTCTGCAGAAACCCACTTTCTTCTTGGGAGGGTGGGGAGGCAGGTCAGGTGTCTGTATGCCACCTGTCCTGGGCCTGGGACCCACACTGACCCCCTCATCTGCTCTGCAGTTCTCCAGCCTCCGGGAGGAAAAGAAGCAGCAGGGGATAATGGGACTCATTGAGAAGGAAAACCTTATCCTCCGACAGGTGATGGCATGGGCACCGCTGAAGCCTGGGCTGGGCTACCATCCTTGTGGGTTGGGATACCATGATGGACAAGATAAGGTTGGAGCATCTTCACAGTGGAGCTGGCCCTCTGAATCCAGACAGCACCCCACTCAACAGACCCATACTGGGGTCCCCTGGCAATGGCTGGGCTGGGTGGCAGGAATCCGAGGCTCTTTGCCTCCTTCTTTTGGGAAGACATGGTAAGGATCGCACAGCTCTGGCCACACAGCTAATGCTCTGCCCTTCCTGGCTCCCCCAGCAAGTATCTGACTTGGAGAGAGAGCTCCTCAAGCGTGATCAGGACATCGTGGAGCTGCACAGCAAAGCCAGCGAGCTGCAGGCTCAGGTCGACCTGTACGAGGACCACCTGAGGCGGTGGAAAGAGCTTCACAATGATCTCCAGAGCCGGAATGAGACAATCCAGCAAGCAGAGCAACAGACTCGCGTGGTCCTGGAGTCCTTTCAGGCCAGGGTAATGCCCACCGAGGGTTCAGATTCATGTTTATGACCACCTATATCCTTACCCACTGCCCCCCCACACCGACCGGATGCCCAGCAAAGGCTCTGGCTCATTCTGCCTCAGATTGCAACGTGCAGTGTAGAACTGATGTTTGTGAGGTAGTAGAGGAGGGAGTGAAGGCTTGTGGAACATTCTGGAAGCAGAGGACAGGAGTCAGTATTGTTCACCTAGAAAAAGAGGCAGGAGGGAGGATGAAGATGTCCATGTCAACCCCCCCTTTCACCCCACACCTCCTGCCCCTCCCCAGTGTGTCTCCCTTCATTCCTCAAGTCCTCTCATCTTTTCTAAGTTGATTTTTTTTATAACCCATTGAGTCCACTTTGTGCTGCCCATATGTGAACGGCTGTGGGGTCACACACTGGGGGTCATGAACAATCAGTCAGTGGTCACCGTTCAAAGAAAAGTGACTCCTTCCCATACCAGCCATTAACTGCCAGTAGTTCCTCAGCTGGGGTGGGACCTCAGGAGCCCACTCTGTGCTCCACTCTGAAATAAAACAAACAAGCCGGGTGATGGTGGCACACGCCTTTAATCCCAACACTCGGGAGGCAGAGGCAGGCAGATCTTTGTGAGTTCGAGGCCAGCCTGGTCTACAAGAGCTAGTTCCAGGACAGGCTCCAAAGCTACAGAGAAACCCTGTCTCGAAAAACTTAAAAAAACAAAAACCAAGCACACATGTGTATGTGATGTGTGGGTGCCAGCAAATGTGAACACAGGTGCCTGCGAGGCTAGAAGCTTCAGATTCCTGCAGAGCAGAGTGATGGGGGGTTGTAAACACCCCATGTGGGTGCTAAGAACTTGTAACGTCTGGTGGTTTGATTGAAAAGGACTCTCAGAGGCTCGGGTTCCTTTGTTTAAATATGTGGTCCCCAGTTGGTAGAACTTGCTGGGAAGGATTTCGGAGTGCAGCCTTGTAGGCAGATAGGCTTTGGGGTTTCAAAAGGCTCTACCCTTCCTAGTGCCTGCTTCTACCTCCTACTTATGGGTCTTGGGTATGTGTGCCATAATGCCCTTGCTGCACCGTCACAGACTTCAACCCTCCAAACATGCAGCTCAAATCAAACACTTTTATAAGAGGCCTTGTTTATGGTGTCTTATCATAGCAATAGAAAAGAAACTAGACAGAATCAAATTCAGGCCCTCTGCAGGAGCAGAACAGACTCTTAACCGCTGAACATCTTGTCTATACTATACAATCTATACTAGAGTTTTAACTGGCTTAGTATTGGCCTCTATGGCTGTGTTTTGATTGTGGAGGTTGAAGGGATATATATCATAGATAAGAGAGAGAGCTGTCTAAAAACTGATAGTCTACAGAGAAGGGATGCTGTGAATTGTTAAGAGGCTGAGGCGGGACTGGAGAGATGGCCCAGCCATTAAGAGCTCTGGCTGCTGCTCTTTCAGAGTACATGGGTTGAATTCCCAGCACCCATATGGCAGCTCACAACCACATACAACTCGGGTCCCACAGGGTCTGATGCCCTCTTCTGGCCTCTGTGGGCATTGCATGCATTTGGTGCACAGATGACAAACAGGCAAAACTCCCATACACATAAAATAAAATTAAAGCAAACCAAACAAAAGAGAGGCTGAGATCTTCAGTGGCAGCTGGAAACTAAAATTTAAAGTAATTGTTTGTGTCATTCTTTTATTTATTTAATTTATTTATTTATTTTTTGGTTTTTTGAGACAGGGTTTCTCTGTGGATTTGGAGCCTGTCCTGGAACTCAGTCTGTAGACCAGGCTGGCCTTGAATTCACAGAGATCCACCTGCCTCTGCCTCCCCAGTGCTGGAATTAAAGGTGTGTGCCACCACCGTCCAGCTCATTCTTTTATTTTTAAAATGTGTATTTTTATGTATGTGCATGTGTAAGTCTGTGTGTATACAGTCTGTGTGCCTTTAATCCCCTGGAGCTGGAGGTACAGGCAGCTGAGAGTTCTGGGTCCTGTTGGGTGCTAGAACCCAAACTCAGGTCCTCTGCAAGAGCAGCAAGTGCTCTTAACCGCAGCGCCATCTCCCCAGCCCTGTGCTGATATTTTAAAGTCACATGCAGAGCTGGGAATATATCTCAGCAGTAGAGAGCTTCCTAGCATGTGGGAGTCCCAGGACTCCTGGTGGAGATGCGTACTTCTCTAGTTTAAGAACATAAAAATAAGTGTGTTGGCATGCTAAAGTTTCTGTGCTTCAATGTGGGGCCACCCAGGAACAGAGGTCTGATCCAGAACATTCTAGCTCTTAGGCAAGTCCCATTCCCAGCCACGACACGTACGAGCCTGCAAGGCTTATGGTGGCAGTACCAGGCATCGTTCTTCGTAACTGGGAGATGGCTTCACCTTTGTTACAGCTGGAGAGACTAAGGAATAAGATCATCCAGGCCGTCTACAGCGTCAGTGGGACCAAGAACTTGTCCACTGAACTCTCTGACAACTACATCCTGGAGTCCCTGCAGGTGAGAGGAGCCAAGCTGTGTCCCCACTGCCCACCACCCAAGACTCAAGGGAGATGGGAACCCAAGCTGTGTTCCCACTGCCCATCACTGAGGCTGAGGGAGGAGGGGACCCAAGCTGTGTCCCCACTGCCCATCGCTGAGGAAGTCTGGACTCAGTTTGTAAACCCGGTTCTCATCCCAGCTCTACACCATGCATTGTAACTCCAGGACTGTCCCTTTTCCCTGCTCAACCAGAGAGGACCAGCCCATCCTTGGAGACAGCTCTAGCATGGAGCTGGAGAATCTGAGCTGCTCTCAGCCTCATGGAGAATGGCACCCAGTTACCTCTGATCCTCATCCCTGCTCAGGGAGAGGGATAAGCTACCTGCATTTAGGAAGTTCACTGTCCAGCTCAGCTTCCTTGGTGGAGCTCCCTCCAGAGAAGCTTCTGGGCCAGAGTCTTCCTCTTGGCCTCAGCCTTGCCAACTCCTATGGACCTAGAGTCCCCCAAAGCAGAAGCTTTAGAGAGTCCTGGGGGTGCAGGCTGTGGTGCCTATGAACTGGAGTAGCCCTCGGTGTGCTAATCCTAGCTACTTTGTGTTTCCCTGAATTACAGGGCCTTCCCTTTATAAAGGGGATGAACCTGCCTACCCTGAAGGTATAGGGCACCAGAGCCCTGGGGATGGCTGAGGTACCAGGCTGCTCTGGTTGGGGTCGTATGCCACACAGGATCACATCTCCTTAGCAGACACTCTGTTCCCAAGGTTCTGTTGCGTTGCCCAGCGAACCCAACATGCTCACATTTCCCTGAGGCTTTTGGGGAATGAGCCTGGGTCACTCCACTGTCACTTGTGGGGACAGGCCTGTGGTCGTGTGTCTGCTGGTGGGGAGGAAGAGGGACGGAAGGACAGAGAAGATGCTCAAAGGCCCTGTGTCTCTGCTAGGAGTGAGAACAGGGCTAGGGCTGGGAAGGGACTAGTCAGGCCCTGTTGGACAAGACGAAACAGTTTCTAGTCTCTAGGAGTCTAAGGTTCCCTTCAGTGCCACACTGACTAAAGGGGTGGGCTCAGTGCACGAGCTGACTCCTGGGACAAGTGTGGATCCACTCCCACCCCCTTCCCCCACCCCTCCACCTCCTGGGACAGCATCTCTGAAGTCCCACCACTGGCAGGGAAGCCACACTCCAACTCACCTGCTGTAGCAGCAAATCCTGGATGGGGGGTGGGGGACCAAGGTGGCGAGCTGGAGGCCACCCATGGACTGTTTTCTTGTGCAGAGAATCATCACGGAGAGAAGCGAGTTCTACAGCCAGCTGAAACAAAAAGGTGTCAAGGTGCCCCCGCTGCAGCAGTCAGACATCTCCCTGCCCACCAAGCTCAAGAAGCTGTCTTCCAAGTAGATCTGGCAGAGACCCCAGGACTTGGCCTGCCCAGCAGAGGTCAGGGCAGAGGTCAGGACCTGTGCGGCTTGCTTTGTGTTAAAGAATTAAACCTTAGAGTTGGCCACTGTCTCATCTTCTCTGCTACCTACAGGACCTCATCTTTTGCACCCGAACCACACAGGCCAGGTCCCACGCCACAGCTCCCTGTCCTGGGCTACAGCCCCATTTGTGGGGGAGAGCCACACCTCCAGGACCCCTCTTCCAGCCTTCACTTTGCAGAAGACCAAAGACCTCTCCCCCCATTCTGATCCAACACTTCTGCCTGGGGCATGCTCTTGCTACTGGGGCCCCACTGGAAGGTGGGGAAAGCGTGGGATGGGGTAGGTGGTGTAGGGGCTGAGGACAGCTCTTCCCAATCCACGGCTTCCTGGCGTCTGTGGTCAGGATGTTTTCACATACGACTGTGCCCCGTACCCTGATGAATATAAAGCGGCTCTTTACACACATAGTATGCCATACACGCTTCTGATGGCACGTGCACGGGGTGCCATCAGTGCAGGAGCACTACCTCTGTCTTCCATCTGGGGAGCAGAAGGCCCGGACACCGAGCCTTCTCTGAGCCTGACTCTGAGAAACTGGGCAAGGACCTAGCGCCCTCTGTAGGTCTCTCCGGTGGCCGGCTCCGTTCGCAACCCCAGCAGCCAGAGGGGGTCCGCCCCTCCCGATCTGGATCAGACTTCCCAACCGTCAGCCCCCTTTCCAGCCGGGCCTCCCTCATCTCGGCCCCGCCCTTTAGACCCGCCCCCAGCCTCGGGCCCCGCCCCTGTCACCCCCAGGGCTGGAGACGCGTCCCGGGCTTGCGCAGCGGCCCTGACGAGGGGCGCAGGTGAGACGCACTCAGCAGAGATTAGCAGTTTCCCGTTGCAGCCCAGGGAGGTGGACCTGGCAGCTCGCCCCCACCACTCCTATGTCCTCCCTCCGGGGCTAGAGCTTCCCTGGCCCTAGAATTCCGGAGTGGGAAGGGCTAGATAAGGCCTAACTACCAAGGGCTATCAGGCCCGGAACTGGCGGCCCAGCTCTTCTCGGGACCCAGGAACTCCCTTGGGGCCCGTTTCTTCCTTTCCTCCAGCTATCTGCTCCTCTTCCCACCTTTGTTTTCTTTATTTAAGGCTCGAGACACCAACCCTACCTCACATCCTGGCTTACCCTGCTGGGGCAAGGTGGGAGCCACTGACCAGACCCTGACAGCCTTCCTGGGCACCGGAGGCTTCAGCCCCCACCACGACTCGCCTTTGTAAGTTGGGGTCTCAGAGGTACTCTGTGGGCAGACGGGTCTAACGAGCAGCCGCATTTTGGACTCCTGTGTGCACACCCCATCACGGGAGGCTCTGGGTTTGAAGGGGCCTCGTAGGCCCTTCCTACTGTGTCTGTGACGACTGTACAGATCAGGGTGCACGAAGCCCAGGAGAGCCCGGCCCGAGGAGTCCATTGATGTCTGTCCAGCCACGGATGGTTGGCAGATAACAGGATCCCACTACCTCCGGCTTGAACAAATTGGGAAGACTTCCATAACCCAAATTCCACATGTGGGCAGGTTTTGCTGTAGAGATGGTCCTGTTAGAGCCAGTGTTGCATTCATGTCTAGACTGCATGGGTGGTGTAGCAGCTTCGGCCACCGCATAAGCAGGAAAGAGGTGGTCACGCTTAACTGTGAGAGAGCAAAAGCTTCCTCTCCCCGCGTTCCACTTCACCCCGCTTCACCCCACACTTTGCCCACAACTAGTGGTATGGCAAAAGAGGGGTTCGGGTATTCAACTCATCTTGGCGTGGCTGCCACCCGGGGCCAACACTCCTGCTATCCACCTGGAGTTGAGCCTTGTGCAGGTAGCTGGCATGCTCTGACTGAGGCAGGTAACAAACAGGACACTCCAGCCATGCTTGTCACCCCAGGCGGTCAGCCAGAGGCCCCACCTGAAGACACCTGTGGTTAAGATGGCGTCCCTTCTTCCATCCATCCAGCCTGGCTTCCTGGGCTTCTGTAGCTGTTTTCTGCAGTCTGCTGGCCTGCTGTGCCTTTGGGTCACTGTGTCCAGGGTTATCTAGGATGCATGCTGCCCTTCCCATGGCCCCAGCGGTGCCGTGAGGGGACACTTGGATGCCCAGTACACAGGAGCTCTACCTTCACCTTGTCTCAGCCTGTACTTCTGGTGTGTGCCCTGTTCCCCTCAGGTAAACAAGAGGCAACGGGAGAGGTCAGAGGGTAAATGAGAGGGTTAGTCAAGTATTCAGTGCAGGCAAGCCTGTAGGGAGGCAGGAGCGACCATGCATGGCAATATTGTCACCATGACTCCTCCTCCTCCCAACCCACTGTCTGTGCCCAGGGTGGCTGGCCCTGAGGGAGTCAGGGATGGTTTGGTGGTAGGAACCTTCCTGCTCTAGGCACTCATGTGGCCCCTACTTCCTGCTAATCTATGATCTACAGGGGCCCAGAAGCCTCTCAGGGGCAGCAGGTGGAGGAGGGGAAGAGGACAGCTGCCGCCCGGCAGCTCCCTGGCTGGCTGGACTGGCGGTACCAGCCACCATCCACTACTCATCCCTCTCCTTGCCAGCCTCTCTGGAGGGCAGCTCCAGGCCTTATCGGCTGGGCCGAGGAAGAAGACAGTTATCGGGTCCTTGGCAGCTACACTTTCCTGGTCTCTGAGGGCGGCACTGGCTGCCTCCCCTGATAAGTGTCCCGCAAGGGAGGAGAGCCCCTGACCCCTCAGAAGAGGCCCCAGCTGGCAAAGCAGTGGCTTACATTCCTGAGGGTCAGGGCTTAGCGAGGGACCGCCCTGCCCTCTGGGTTGGAATTCCTGTTTTGCTTAGGCCTTCTGACCCTGAGCTAGTTTCTAGTTACCTCGGTAAGTACCGCCCCCTCCTTCCGGACTGACCCTCTCGTGACAGCAGCCGGGCCCGCCTTCTGGGAGTCTGGTCTGATACCTGTCTGGTCTCCACTCTGACTGCTGTAGCCCCCCCCCCCCCCCCCGCCCAGGTCTACAGCATGCAGTCCCAGGAGAGTGGTGTCCGCTACAGCAGGTGGGACAACAGTAGCCGGGATGAAGTCAGCATGACTGCCATGTCCAGCACAGAGGAGCCCTCATGCTATAGGAGGTAAAATCCCAACAGGCCGTGACCCCCACTGCACTGACCAGCCTTGTCCAACCATTGGGCCGTCCCTTTGGGTGGACAGGTAACTCCCAACTCCAGCAGGGCACTCAGGAGGCCCTGATCTAGCCTTCCTTCCCCATCCAAACCTATCTCACTGGGGTTCTCGCTCTAGGCTCTCCCAGAAGTTGTGCTCCGGCAAGTTGGGGATCGCCATGAAGGTGCTGGGTGGAGTGGCCCTCTTCTGGATCATCTTCATCTTGGGCTACGTCACTGGCTACTATGTGCACAAGTGCAAATAAATGCTGCCCCGCTCCCACTCCTGGGACTCCCTCCCATGTACACAGACCCCGGGGCATGTGAAGATGCCAGTGTGCACTGTTGTAGAGCTCATCACCAGCACCAACGTCCGGTGCCGGCAGCGCCAGCTGCAGACATGCTGGGGACTAGGCTCAGTCCCAGTAGAGCTGGAGGGAACCTCCCCAGGCTAGGCGCTACCTATGGTGTCCACATCTCTTTGACCAATGCTAGGTGAGATCTTCCTCAGCCTAGGCTGGCCCTGTCCAGATTCCTGGCTGTGCAGGGAGGGCTGTGCATATTCTTTTTAGGGGCCACAGATAGGGCCCTATATAGACTTGTTCCTGTGCCTGGCAGAGGCCTTCTCAAACACAACATTGTATGCTTTTATTGGAGACAGCCTTGCCTGTCCTGGAACTCACTTTGTAAACCAGGCTGGCTTTAACTCAGATCCACTTGCCTCTCTCTTGAGTGCTGGGATTAAAGGCATGGGCCACCTGGCACACAACATTGTATTCTTTTGTTTGGTTTTTGATTTTTTGTTTTTGGAGACAGGGTTTCTCTGTAGCTTTTGGAGCCTGTCCTGGAACTAGCTCTTGTAGACCAGGCTGGCCTCGAACTCACAGAGACCTGCCTGCCTCTGCCTCCCAAGTGCTGGGATTAAAGGCGTGCACCACCACCGGCACAACATTGTATTCTTTAGCAAACTAGCACGTCTTCAGGGATGGCCCTGAGAAAATGGAGGCTGGCGCCCTACTCGCTGCCTCTTCACAGGCCCCCATTCCTTATGGAGTCTGTAGACAAATCACTGCTTGCTGAAGGGACAGTGGGCGACTGACTGTCCTAGAAGTGCTGCCCAGCCAGGCATGACTTGCTGCAGGCCTGACCCTCCTCCACAGCTCTTCCTGTTTGGCTCTGTTCTGGAATGTGCCACTCCTGGCTGGGCCATCTCCCAAGAACACGCGAGACCTAAGGGTCGAGATGTGGTTGGACCTGTCCCTTCTTACTGGACCATGGAGGACAAGGCCTTCAACCCTTGAGGGTACTGTGGCCTCCTCTCCAGTGGTCCACATAGAACCTTCCTGGGCCACCCCTCATACCTGCTGTGCTGTGAAATGGTTCCAGACTTGCAGGACGTTTGCTAGAAAATCTCAAGATGAAGTCTGCACCCTGGGCTGAGAGGGTGGAGGGCAAGGGAGCAGTTGCTGTCTGTGGGCAGAGAAGGGGAGCCAGACAGTAGGTGGTGGTGCTGGAAGACTAAACCCATAGCTCTCAGGTCAGCAAGCGCTCCCCTCCCCTGCTCTTGTCCTTCACCGCACTGACAAGTTGAGGGGCTCGGCCACATTGGCCAGGGAGGGCTGGTATGGCTGGCCTCATTCTCAGAACTCCTGGTTTGGATTGTCCCGAGCTTCAGTGGTCCTCATGTGGGAATTGCTCCAAATGGTCTGGGTCTCTGTATTGCAAATCTAGGCCTCAGTTCTAACAGCCACCATCTCTGTCCCCACTCACAGGCCCCAACTGAGGTAAGGCAGTGGAATGCCCTCCTGCCTCCGCAATGGCAAAGCAGGCATTGGGAGGTCCCAAAGGACCCTTCAAAGCCTAGTGTGGCCCTTGCCAAGAGCAGGGCACCCTGGCCTGGTAGCCCTTGGGGTAGGAGGAGCAGGTATGTGCCTGGACAAGGCAGACATGGCTGAGCCTGGTATATGGGGTGCAGTGGGGGCGGGGGAGTTTGAACAGGGAGGACCAAGTGTGCTCCATCTAAGGAGCTCCAGGGAGGATCAAGTGTGCTCCATCTAAGGAGCTCCAGTTGAGAGAAAGGAAGTGGCCAGGCTTCTCTTGGTAGTCCTGCACCCCTGGGTGACGGTAGTGGATGGGCATCTAGCCATATCCTGTACTCCAACGACAGATGCTCCCAGCCCTGGCAACTGACCAGGGCTCTCTGGCCAGTGCTCCACAGGGAGTAGGTAGTCTCAAGTGGCCACAGGCCATGGGCCCTGATGGAGGTCCAGAACCAGGTGGGGATTTAGGCTGTTTTCCCACATGTCAACACTAGGAACAGACCCTGGCGCTATCCTGTTGATGAGAGCGGGAAGTCGGCTGGATGCAGAGAACATGCTGCTACCAGAGGGTTTTATTAGAACAAAGAGGCGTTCTGCTCGTGTCTGTAAAAAGTTCCAAAAATTTTAATCTTACACATGGGCTGTGTTGGAAGAAACAGCAGGAACTGGCGGGGGTAAAGGGGTGGGCATGGGGCAGCTCCACCCTTCCACACTTTGGTGAATCCACACAGAATAGGTGAGCTCTTGCCATGGTCACTCAAAGAGACCTTAGAGCAACTGTACAGTCACAAGGCAGCTCTACCGGCTTTGTCCAGGACACTGCCGTGAGGGACCCGCAGCCCCACTGGCTCTGACAACCACAGGACCTTGCACAGCCTCAAAACTAAAACCATAAACCCGAACCGTTGTTGTTTTACAGAAGACAGGAACTGTCCTTTGAGGTCAAAGACCACCAAAGAAAGGCTGAAGGGCCGGGTCCCTTCTGCAGCCAGATGTTAAGGCATAGGATAGGGCCACTAAGTCCGCTGTGCAGCTGGCTGGGTCCTCAGGATCAAGCACTTTGGCTCCACGGATGGCAGGTGTGCTGGGTATGTGCGCCAACACATGCAGAGCGAGACAGGTGGGTGGACAAGGACAGACTGACAAGGAAGCCTGTAGGGCCGTGTGTGCGGCACACCTTCCTGCCACTGGCCAACAGCTTGCAAGCCAGCCTTCCCATCACTCACAGAAATCTGTCGCCGACTCAGGACTACATGGGCATGACCTCTGGGGCTGAGGAGTGCAGGGACTTCAGTCCCGGGGGCACGGCAGAGGTTACAATCACAACATGATGTTTTCTACTGTCTGGGCAATTAACATGCCATAGAGAAGTAAGCGCTGTCCCACAGGATGTCTTACCCTGAATTCACACCTGCACATCAAGCCCTGCTCAGCCTCCCCCCGTTACCCACACGATTCAAGACATTTCCAACAGTTATGTGAACATCCATGAGAACAGCAGAATTTCATTAGTGCTGTAATGATGACACAGCTCACTCACTTTACAACCGTCACCCAGACAAAACGCAGACACCTTAAAACACCCAGAGAAAAGGGACGAAGAACAACCAACCACACAGAGACATCTACAGCCAGTGCCCCCACAGGAGCCACAGTGGAACCAGTTATGCAGCCTGGACGTCAGCGAACCACAGTCACGTAGGGAGGGGTGGTGACCAGGTCCGCCTTGGACGGGTATACCACCTTCAAGCTGCCCTCCAGGTCCACCACTCGGACCTGCTCCACCACCAGGGGGCACTGTCCATCCTTCCCAGCTCTCAGATTCAAGGTGGGATCAGAAACCCCACAACCGGCATCAGCTTCTGTACCCGAGAGTGCGTCTTCCTCTTTATTTTCTGAAGTGCTTTTGTTCAGTTCTGCCATTTTCTGCAAAGGGAAATAACGTTTTCACAGAGAGGAGAAGTGACCTAGGAAGTCAGGCTGCAGTGACCTGGAGAGCAGCAAGCAGCAGCCATGGGCGGGGGGGGAACGGGACACAAAGCTGCCCTCATGGCCAGGATCTCGCTCAGGTTGGACCACTCACCAGAATGAGGCTGTCCATGATGTCCTTACAAAGCTGCAGGCTAGTGGCACTTGTGACTTCCAAAAACAAGTTGCATGTGGTTTTCTTAATCTGAAGAGTTAGAGTTCAGGAAAAAGTTATTGGTGCAGGGACACCAGCTGCTCAGCGTATCCAGGAGAAAAATCTATGAGCAGGGCTGGAGGTGCAGAGCGCATGCCGCATGAAGCCTTGGGTTAAGTCCCCAGCACTGCATAAACCAGGCAGGCATGGCGGTACACACCTATAATCCTATGGCGTTAGGGGCATGGAGACAGGAGAATCAGAAGTTCATGGTAACTCTTAGACTATATATCAAGTTAAAGGCCAGCCTGGGCTACATGAAAACCTGTCTTAAACTAAGAACTTGTAGCCAGGGCCACAGACTGGGGGACAGCACAATGGTGACTTTGTCGAGGTGGGCGGCACCAGGTGTGAACAATGCCAAGGAGCAGAGGGCCCCAGTCCTCTACTTTGCACCTCTCTCACGAGTGGGCACAAGCAGGCGGGGCAGCCTAGAGGACTTGTCCACACGCCATACAGTGCCTACCTTTGTCTTCTCGCTGTTTGTTATAGGTGGAAAGGAAATCACATCTCCTTCGGCATCCACGAGACAGGGGTAGTTTTCCTTCCCGTCCAGTAAGTGAAGGTACCTGTGTGGGAGGGAATCCAGGTGACAGGCAGTGTGAGCTAGTGCTAAAGCCGCAGCCCTGCATCCCCACCTGCCCAGAGACCTGGGAGGTGAAGTGACAGAGGGCCTTAGGTCTGACAACCCTGACCATCACTGAGAACCTGATGGCTGCCTAAAGCAGGCCCCCCCACTCTCTAACCCCTCACAATGGAGTCTGGCCCTTTCAGGCGGGGTAGTGACTCTCCCTTAGAAGGAAGTCTGGGGAAAGTCCCTCTCCATCTGCTTATGTTGTGCTTCTGCCAGCTGGAGGGCGGGCCGAGATACAGGGATTTACAGTGGGCAGTGTGCTAGACCTGTCTGCCACCTGACTGACCTGTGCAGCCCGGAGACGTTCTGCCGCTTCTTCTGCTTTCTCTGCTCCTCAGCCTCCAGCTGAAGCTGCCTCACCAGCTCCTTGGCCTTGGCTTCTTTCCGCCCCAAGGGCACAATCTGTAGGAGTGGAAGCTCATAGCTCATTGTGTTACTGAGGCCACTCGTAAGCATGAGGGATGCTGTACACCTCTCTACCTTAATCTCTAGCTGGAGAGTGGGTTGCCAAGTCTCCAAGTCTGAAAGCAGAGACCCCTCTAGAGAGGGGATGCTCAACACTCAAAGTTTTGAGCTCACAGACACTTGTATTTCTAAAAACATGCGATTGCTCAGAAGGCCAATGGAGAGATAGGAATTAGTTGCCT